GTCCGGGTTTGGATCCCAGGCGCACACCAATGCACCACTTGTCAGGCCATGCTGTCGCGGCATTCCATATAAAGTGGAGGAAGATAGGCACAGATGTTAGCCCAGGGCCAGTCTTCCTCATCAAAAAAAAAAAAAAACAGAGGAGGATTGGCATGGATGTTAGCTCAGCACTGATCTTCCATACAAAATAATAATAATAATAATTTGGGGGTTAAAGGAAATTGAAATTACATTTTTTTGGGAACTGGATGACAATGAAAGCACCACATATCAAAACCTGGAGTATACAGAATAACAAAATAAACACTAATACAAAAAAAAATAATGAGTCAATAATTATAGCAGAAATTAATGAAATAAAATAACCCCCCTCTCCAAAAAAAATAGTAGAAGACATTATCAGTAAAACAAAAAGCTGGGGCTTCTTTAAAGACCAATCAAACTATAAAATATTTAGCAAGTCTGATCCGGAAAAATAAGAGAGGGAACAAATAAATATCAAGAAAGCCAAAGAAATATAACTTCAGATACAAATGAGTCATAAGAAATAATATACATAAAGTATGTCAATGAATCTGAAATCCTAGATGAAATAGATATTGTTCTAGGCAAATATAAATTACAAAAATTTATTCCAGGAGAAAGTAATACATCTGAATAAACCAATATCCACAGAAGAAGTTGAAATCATAGTCAAAGACCTACCAAAAAGACACCAAGCATGGGGCCGGCCCCATAGCTTAGTGGTTAAGTGTGCGCGCTCCGCTGCTGGCGGCCCGGGTTCGGATCCTGGGCTGCACCAACGCACCGCTTGTCCATCTATGTTGAGGCCGTGTCCCACATACAGCAACTAGAAGGATGTGCAGCTATGACATACAACTATCCACTGGGGCTTTGGGGAAATTAATTAATTAATTAATGTAAAAAAAAAAGACACCAAGCATGGATGATCTTCATCCAGTCAAGTTCTACCAAATGTTCAAAGAACAGATAACTCCAATATTTCACAAACCACTCCAGAGTGCAGAAAAAGGGAGATGGGTTCCCCAAATCATTGAATAGGGTTAGCCTTTCCCTAATCCCAAAACTGGGCTAAGATAGCACCAGAAAGCAAGCCATGGGCCAATTCCATTTATGAAAACAAATAAAAAACAACTCTAAAGAAAATATTATTAAACCAAATCCAGAAATAGTGAAAGGGAGGAGGACAGTTCAACATTTACAGATTAGGGCAGAAAAACCATCTGATCACATCAACAAATGCATAAAAAGCATGTGATAAAATTCAACACCTGCTTTCTAAAGGAAAACCTCTTAAGGGCTGGCCTGGTGGCGTAGTGGTTAAGTTCACCAACTCCACTTTGACCCAGGGTTCACTGGTTGGGTGTGGACCTACATACTGCTCTTCAAGCCATGCTGTGGTGGCATCCCATATACAAAGTAGAAGAAGATTGGCACAGATGTTAGCTCAGGGACAATCTCCCTCAAGCAAAAAAAACAAAAACAAAAACAAAAAACCTCTTAGCAAATTAGGAATAGAATTTGATAAAGGATTTCTACTAGATATCTACTGAAAACATCACACTTAATGGTGAAACCTCGGGGTCATTCCTTTAAAAGTCTAGAACAAGACAAGGATGGTCCAGTATCACCACTATCGTTCAACATTGTAGTGGAACTCTTACCCAAATGGGGAGGGCATGAGAAATGAGTTAAAAACATTGGAAAGACTAAATTGTCGGTTTTTTTGCCAACAGCAGGATCATCTAGCTAGAAAAGTATGGAGAATTATCTGTCAAGCTATTCTAGAACAAGTAACAGTGAGTTCAACAAGGTAGCCAGATCCAAGATCAGCATTAAAAACACAACAGCAGTAACTGATTAGAAAAAAATAACAAAATCCCAGCCATAAATAAATGAGTAAAATCAGTAAAGTTCCAGTGAGTGAGCCAAAGAAACCGTGTACAAGATATCCCAGGAGAAAATATACCTAGGTCCAAGGATGGAAGACTCAATACTACAAAGTCATAAATTCTCCGCAAATTAATAACTTATTCATTACAATCCCAATCAAAATCCCAAAGATTTTTTATGGCATTGACAAGTTCCACCCCACTCCCCATTCCCATTTGTTTAGAACCAAGCCAGGTCCCTTTCCTTACCCAAGTCTAGACATCTGCTTAAAGTCCACCTGTTCTGCTGCCCATCTGCTTTTCTGGCTTAAACAGCCCCATGAGGGGCTGGCCCTGTGGCTTAGCGGTTAAGTGTGCGCGCTCTGCTACGGGTGGCCCGGGTTCGGATCCCGGGCGCGCACCGTCGCACCGCTTCTCGGGGCATGCTGAGGCCGCGTCCCACAT